TCATTTAGGTTTGTTTTTCCTTCTAACCTACTGAGTTGAACCATTTTGCTATTTCTAGTTTTTTTTTTTTTTTTTTTTAACTCATGTTATAATTTAGTAAGCTAATCTTAGTAAATTTCCTAGGACCAGTAAAATTTACCTGTTGAAATTTAACTGTTTTAAAGTTTTGTTGTACCTTGATTTTGTCAGTCATGAAATGATTTGGGAACTCTGGCTTTTATGGTATGTACTTACAAGTTCAGCCGATGAGAAGCTGTTAGGTCACCCCCTCACGAGCTGAGGCTGGAGCTCAGCTGGACCCGTCCACTTACGTTGGTCTCCTTCATGAAAGTCTCTGTCTGCTCATCTGTGTCAAGGATCTCAAGATGGGCCCAAGTCTGAGGAGAAATAGGAATTTTCATGTACTGACTGCTTTACTTCAGAATGAGATTAAGTGGTGGGAGTGAGACAGCATCTGGCTGCCTCCCAGGCTGGTCTAGAACTTGGAATTCTCCTGCCTCAGCCCCCCCAAGTGCTAGGATTATGGACATGCACAGCCACACACGAAGTTCAATTCACCTTTGTTGGTTGTTTTTTGTAGGTGATCAGAGGACTGCTGAAATTTTGGCCAAAAACATGTAGTCAGAAAGAGGTGGGTGTGAGTAAAAATAAATGCATTCAAGTCAAGCTTTGCAGCCTTAGCCTCCTCCAGAGTGGGAGGGACAGGGAGGGGCCAGAGTAACGCAGCTCTGAGCCCTGCCCCGTTCCTAGGGTGCTGGTTGCCTGTCTGTTGTAGATTTTCTAAGAGAACTTTTTTTTTTTTAAAACCTAGGTGATGTTTCTAGGAGAAATTGAAGAAATCTTAGATGTCATTGAACCAACACAGTTCAAAAAAATCGAGGAGCCGCTCTTCAAGCAGATCTCCAAGTGCGTCTCCAGCTCTCACTTTCAGGTACCGGCTTCCCCCTTTGTGCCATCCTGATTCTGTGCCTCCCTCTTCCCTGGGAACGTTGGCATTTCTGATATCTTTCGTAGGTTGCAGAAAGAGCATTGTTCTTCTGGAACAACGAATACATCCTCAGTTTGATTGAAGACAATATTGACAAAATTCTGCCAATCATGTTTGCCAGTCTGTATAAAATTTCCAAAGAGCACTGGAATCAGTAAGTTGTTTTTTAATCTTAACAGTGTAAACTGCATGGGCTAGCCTTGAACTCAGTCTCTTGCCTCAGTGCTGAGTTATGTGGAACCTGCACGGATTTGTAACCTCTGCGGTAGTTAACATCACAGTTGTACAGCGCTGCCTGTGAGTGGTCCTTAGTGCGGTCTTACCCACTGTGGGAACAGTGTGGCTGAGCCAGCAGCAGCTCGTGTTCTGGAGCTGAGGACCGAGGGAAGCATGGAGCTCACACATTCCAACTCCTGTGACGTTCCTTACCTGCTGCCCAGACTACAAATCACAGATGAAGAGGACCAGAGTATTATGTTCTTAGCTAGCGGGAAACTAGGCAGATCGGGGGGGGGGGGGGGCGCACTTCACCCCTGGCTCCTGTGAGCAGTTTCTGACTTCAGTCCCCCCACCTGACACAGCCCCGCTGAGATGAGAGTGCTGCCGGCCTCTAACCCAGAACTGGCTTCTTTCTTTCAGGACTATCGTAGCTCTCGTGTACAACGTGCTGAAAACCCTCATGGAGATGAACGGCAAGCTTTTTGATGACCTTACTAATTCCTACAAAGCCGAGAGGCAGAGGTACTTGATAGGTTTTGATATTTCAGGGTTACTCATCTCCTAGTTATTGGGTCTACACTGAAGGCAGCAGACATTATAATCTGAGAGCCTCTGAGCACTAAACCGCTACCCAGTCAAGTGGCCCTGGTCACTGCATGACTTTCCTGTAACGGTTAGATTGTGGTCTTCCATTGAGCTCTTGCTGAGCCGTAATTTCACTGTCTAGTAGCGTGTACGCTGTAACGTATACAAACTGTTTTGTCCACACTGCCTTCCTGAAAGCCTGGCAGTTCCAGGGCTTCGGATCCTCAGAAATACGCTGTAACAGCTGTGACTTAAGATGCCAGTCAGATCTCTGGCTTCAGGGCCAGGACTGCATAGCTGAGACTGTCAAACAAAGAAAAGCTTCACAAAAGTCACACAGAAATGAGGATGACCTGAGCCCAGAAAGCAACAGACAGAAAGGAGTGTGGGAAAATATAGATGGCTCACGTTTATGTCACCAGATTATTTTTTTTCATGTTAAAAGATCTATTTTTGGTTTATGTGTATGACTATTTATTACAACTTATTTACTTTGTATCCCAGCTGTACTTTACCACATTCTTTAAAGAGAGAGCTAGAGATAAGAGCCCATGTTTACATGTTCATCCTGTACCCAAATTACCCAAATTCCTCATTTAAAGATCAAAGTTTGAACATAAACCGAAATGAGAGTAGAAGATTGCCACTCTGTGGGTGTGGGAAGGGCGGGGCTCCGGCCTGTCCCCCGGGGCCTCAGTGTCACTCTAGTGACCACACTAAGTCAGCACCATGTGGCCCACAGCCTGCATCCACAGGGACGGAAATGCTTTTTCCCCAGTGAGCTGCCAACAAGTGGCTTCCCTGAACTTCCGTTTAAAACTGTTGGTTTCTCTCCAGGGAGAAAAAGAAAGAATTGGAACGTGAAGAATTATGGAAGAAGTTGGAAGAGCTGAAGCTGAAGAAGGCTCTGGAGAGACAGAACAGTGCTTACAGCATGCACAGTCTCCTCAGCAGCACGAGTGCCCAGTGAAGAGCGCCGCCCCCCGGGAGGCGGGCCTGTCCGCTTCTGGGAATAGACGGGAACTTCAGAGCAAACCTCGGCAGTGTACCTAATTAGCCAGTTCTTCCTGGCAAGCGTAAGCGAGAGAAACACGGACTGAGCATAGCCCTGTGCTATGTCATGGCCATGGTGTATTGTAAACTTTGTCATCAGTTCCGTCACATTGTCTGTGTTGAGTGGGGTGACTGTGGGAGTGATAAATCACGACTTGAACGCTGATTGTGCTGCACATAGATCAAGTCGTCTTCTGGACCTTTCCCTTTTCTCATGCGCTTTCACGCTGCTGCAGACCTCAGTTCCACTGGAGGGAAGAGCCGCCGTTAGATGACCTGAGGTGCTGCCCCTCCCTCGCCCCTCCTAGAGAGGGGATGGGCTGAGAGCTAGCCTCAGCAAACACTGCCATCCTCTGGGTTTGCGCACCTTCCATTTCCAGGCTTCTGAAGCACACGGTGTTAAAAGCTGGGGGAAGCAAACCAAAACTCTGACTGTTCCCAGTACCCCTTCAGCAGCAGCACCCCAGGGCGTGACCAGAGTAGACAGGCGGGGACCCTGGGCCCACCCCGCCTCCATTCCTCCGCAAGGCTGGAGCAGGGCCTTGCCAGTCCTCCCGACCCGGGCCTGCCTGCAGGGCAGAGGCTCAGTCCCCACGGTGTGATGCAGGCTGCTTGCTGGCACTGCCTGGCTTTACTTTGGGAAGCGCAGTAGCGTCCTCTGAGCGGACTGTGTAGAAGCCTTGTATGTTCTTACCTGGTCAGGTATCTCTCACGCCTGTTGTCAGTACCATTCCAACCTCCCGCCTTGCAGTTGCGTGGAAACTGTTTTATAATGAAAGCTCTTCACTGGGGATTGAGCAGCATTTAATAAAGTCTATGTTTGTATTTTGCCTTATGTCATTTGCTCTTTTATATCTGGAAGATATTTACAGAAAATTGCTACAACGTATGGATATGTTCTGATTAATTTTGGATGTTCCTGGTCCACAGATAAATAGTTTAAAAAGCTTTTCATCAAATCTCACACTTCCCATCCCCATGTGTGCTAGGACAGGTTTAACATTAAAGCTAGTTTTAATTAAGTCAGTGGGTGGGGGCGTCTCCTAATCTGACAGCAACAGCAGCTGGGGAATTGTTGCCCAGTTTCTCCCAAATACCTGGTAAACACCAGCACAGCGGCCTCCTCCGCGGCCCTGGAACCTTCCTTGCAGTACAGCGGCTTAGATTTTTGCTGTTTTCAAGCAGAGGGCATTCCAGGGTCACTCTGCTCTCAGCCCAGACGGTCCCACCACACCACACAGGTTGCCTTTCCAGGAGGTGAGGTGGTTTTCATCTGAGTAGGCAGGAACACTTCTGAGCCACCTAAAGCAACTGTAACAGCGCAGCTTTTCACAGTACAGGAGAGTAACGCTCCAGTGTTCACCGAGGCAGGTTTCGGTAGATGCCTGGTGATGAGTTTGTGACCAGGGCCCCACGTGCTAAGCACACACATCCTGCGCTGGGCTGCACCTTGCCCTAGACATCATCTTTCACTTATTTTTAATGCCACTGATATGTGTTTACACACTTTACTCTAATGGTATTTTATAAAAAAGATTTAGGTTAAAAATCTCCATTCTTGGGCTGGAGAGACTTCTTCCAGAAGTCCTGAGTTCAATTCCCAGCACCCACATGGTGGCTCACGATCGTCTAGTGAGAGCTGGTGCCCTCTTGTGGCGTGCAGGTGTACATGCGGACAAACGTACATATTTATTGTTATATGTAGACATGTATAGGTTATATATGTATTCATATCAAACAAATAAATCTTAAAAAGAAGTACATTCTTGTACATCTAGGAAACAAAGGCGGCAGGGAATATTTCATTACACAAGTTCATGTCTAGGAATCTGGTCAAAAGTTTCTTGCTGCTGAATGTGCAGACAGAATGCCGTGTTTACCCCAAGCGGCTCCCTAAGGCCTAATCATGCATTCTCCCAGTGTCACCATGCTCCTCTGGACATGTGCAAAGCAGGGTTTTGGTTTTGTCAGGGCCGGAAGTGGCCAGCTTACTCACTGTGGCGTGTCCCTCGTCCTGCCGCCAGTGCCCAGCTGACCTCCCAGGAAGCAGTGACATAGCTCAGGTCAGAGCCTCTCAGTGACAGTCCAGACTCACGCTACAGTGAGTCCAGCATTGGTGCCTGTTGGGTTACTGGGCACTCACACTCACTCCTTTGGTATTAGCCCAACTTTATTTACCTGCCAATGAGACCAAGATACACTAGGTAGGCGCGCCCTAGATGCACCGTGCCGTGTGTCTGCTGCGTCAGAACGTGACCACTGGTTTCCAGGCCTCTGAGTCCGGAAGGCCGGGGTGGGGGCAGGCGTTTATTCCCAGCACCGGGAAGGCAGAGGCTGGCCTGGTCTACACAGTGGTCCCCAGCAGGGTTACATTTAAGAAGCAAAGTCTGACCTAGGCTCTGACAAGTTCTTGTTCGCCTAGTAATGTAGATGGTGTCTACGGGGCACATCAGTCCATTTGAGAGAAAAAACAACCTAAGGTAAAGAAGGAGCCTTAACCTGGAGCGCAACCATTTAATGAACAAATCGGAAGATGCCGCCATCTGCAGATCTCTCCAAGGCTCGAGGCAGCTCTGTAAAACGTCCGTCAATAATTTAATACTTAAATTAAGTTTCCAGTTCTTTGCTGACTGGTTCCCTCTGGGCTCAGAACAGCCCCCTCCTGGGCCAGTCTGGCTGCACAGAGCGACAGGCTGTCCTCTGCAGCGTCCTTTCAAGTGAATACAGGATTGCTGGTGGCTCGGTCTGTCAGCGGGAGAGGCCGGCGTGGGCTCGGGCTGTGGCACGCTCAGCTTATGTGGTTTGTCGCCTGGCCTCTTCTTTTAAGGTGCCGCTTCCTGATCTTGATCATCCATTTCACACTTAGTTTGGCAAACTCTGCTGCTTTAAATAACGCCAGGAAGGCCCCACAGAGCAGGGCGATGGTGTTCCAAGGATTGGCCGTGATTATCTGTGGAACAGACAAAAACGGGGTTGTTGGGGCACCAGCCTTGACTCCGGGGCCTCAGACTCTGGAGTCACGTGCCTCTGCGTGTTCAGACCTACTGGGCAGCTGCTCAGAAGGGGCTTTAAGAAATGACTGGAGAAGCCTCAAAACTGTACAATCAGACATCCAGACTGAGCTTTAATTCTGTGGCTTAACCCAACAAGTGACTCAAATAAATTCCCCTGAAACTATACCCAAGCCACACACAGGCACGCACACATATACACGCACACACATATACACAGACAGGCACACAGGCATGCGCTCAGGCCCGGGCACACCTTCGGCCCCTAGAGGCAGGTGTGAGAGCGGGGTGGTGTCATGTTACCTCAGCTTTGAGCTCTGTCCCTCAGGCTCATCCCGTGGCCTGCTCCTTCCTCCCCTTGCTGGGATATGGTCCCAGCTAGACAAGATAATCCTTAAACTCGACACTTCCTCCACCCACTCAGCCAAACCTTTTTTCCTTTGACAAAGTTGTTTATTCCACAGAGCTCTATTTACTGTCGCGATTTGGAGCAATAGTGGGGTGCTCACTAGAGACTCTTATCTGTGCAGTGGTAGTGCATGGACTCCGGGCCTTGTGCATGCTACACGAGCACCGCCTCGGAGGGTGCTCCCTCACCAGACTCGGCAGAGTTAAATTTGGAATCCCCTGTGTGGTTTAAACAAAGACACCTGCAGGCCTGGTTCAATGGGGTGGTCTGAGACAGGATGAGCCCACATTCACACCTCCTGTTAGGGTCAGGTGGTCCACTGGCCTGCCCTCAGGGCCCTCGCAATTGCTTACGTCATGGCCCACCACCGCCAGGTGAGTGTGGCCAGAGGAAAGGCCTGCCCTCCACTGCAGCTCTCCCTGCTCCCAGCATCCTCCCTCTCCTCTTGTTCTAGGCATACGCCCCCTCTCGGCCCCTCTTCTCTGTTTTCCTGGCTCTGCTCCTGCCTGTCTGCCTGTCTCCATGTCCACCTGCCTCTACCCCTCCCCCACTAGCCTTTCATGCCAGGCCTGTTGCCTGGGGTAGTGACGAGGGCGCACAGCGTGGTATGGGCGCTATAGAACCCCTCACTGCATTAGGTTTTGTAGCACCTCTGCCTTCAGGACTGCACGATTCAGGGGCTCCAGGGGCTCTCCTTGGCCCATAAAAGCCTCTCACAACAGGTAGATCAGGTTAAAGAAAATCAGGGCACACACCATGGCACACAGGGCCCAAACTGTTTCCTTTCACACTGTTGGTCTTAGTAAGCGTCACGCCTTCACCCCTCACACAGAGCCTGGGCCAATCTTCAGTGTCAGGGGTGACAGCACAGTCTGTCCACCTGGGATCTGAAGCTTTAGCATCTCTTCCCTGTTGCTACGATCCCTCAGAGCATCTTGGGATAAAGTGAGGCACACGCTCTTGGCGGTACTTACATCCTGGACCTTCTGGATAAAGGGGTCTTTCCATTCGAAGACCACGAAGAACAGCTGTGTACTCCGCTCCGAGGCAGGCCTCTGGTCAATGTAATTAACCACGCTGGTCTAGGTGCAGAGCGGACAAGCAGTAAGAGCAGGAAGAGGCTCTTGGCCTCGGCTCTCCTAACAGCATCTCTGGGAGAAAGAAAGCCAAGCCCCACATACGAGACCTTTGAACTGGTTCAAGAGCCAGGGCTTTCCTGCAGCTGCCAGTCCTTCAGGAGAGACCACAATGCCTGCTAGTGCTTAGAACTGTGACTGAAATCTGCATCAGGTGTCGAGACTCACAGGTAAGCCACTGTCGATCTACTTCAAAAGACAAATTCAAAGCAATGAAAAATCCCAGTTTTTGGGCTGGAGTGATGGATCAGAAGAGTACTGGCTGCTCTTCCAAACGTCCTTGAGTTCAGTTCCCAGCACCCACACGGTGGCTCACAACCATCTATAGTAAGATCTTCTGCCCTCTTCTGGCGTGTAGGCACACATGCAGGCAGAACACTATACATAACAAGTAAATAAATCTTAAAAAAGAAGAAAAAGAAAACCCCAAATTTCAAAATACTTAGCTGAATAGTGCAACCCTTCAAGTCTACGGGGCCGAAGTGTGGCCTGCACTCCACACTAGCAAGTATAAATAGTCAGCAGGCACGCATGAGAAAACGCCCAGTCGGCTATGAGAGCAGCTGTGCCGCAGCGGGAAGACGCTGAGGTTTGTTGCAGGACTGCCCGTGAGTGAGGTGAGCCTTTGTGGGGCTGCGCAGTCGCCACCGAAGGCAGGGAAAATCCTGTCCCTTGGCTAGACCCGGGTGTGGGCGCCCTGTGCGTGGAGAATGAGGCCACCGCCTCCTCCGGGAGAGCGCCAGGTCTGCTGGGAGGCGGCAGTGCCATCCCCATGGCCCTGCCCTTCCAGTCCTCTCGGATCTCAGCAAAAGATATCCAGCAATCCTCCTGCCTCAACACCCAGCATTCTGGCTCCAGCCCGGGGAAGCCCAAGCTTTCCAGTCAGTTCGCGTTCTCCTGCTTCCTCACAGGCGCTCATGTCCTCCCAGGGCCTGGCTTCCCCTCAGCTGTACCAATCCAGGCAGCATAAGGAAATGCTTCCCACTTGTACAAGGCAGAGACGGTTCTGTGGAGAAGTCTAGCTGCTTAACTGTGCCCAGCACAGGAAGTCCTCCTGAGGGCCACCGAAGGTCTCCCTGTCCTTGGGACCCACCCCAAAGCCCTGCCCTCAAAGTCCCCATCCACCCCAGCTTCAAGTGTGATAAGGAAACAAGCCACTACCTCCTGCCGGAACTCAACAGCTTCTCGGCCGTCCTCCTCCTTGGTCTTCACCAGCGACATCTTGACCCAGGTGCGGAAGCCGCCGGAGAACTTCCAGCTGGAGTAGGCGCTCTCGCAGGCCTGCATGAAGCCCGCCTTGTCCGGGCTTGGGAGGGAAGGGAGGTCCAGGCTGACCAGGCCTGATGGCCAGAGCCCACTGTGGCCAAAACAAACTACTCCTGTCTCAAGCTGGGCCCTTTCTGTACAATCGGAATCGTGGGCTCCCTGCTCCCTCAGATCTGGGCACCTTATCAGGCTGGTTAGCATCAAAAGCAACGCCCAGCTCTCTTTACCTCTATTTAGTCTCCAAACAGTACCTCCAGTTGGCAGCAGTGATCCCTGCCCACACCCCACCTCCACCATGGGCACACCTCTTTTCCACAGCACCCCCCCTCCATTTAGTCACCCACACTGGGGTTTCCGGAAGCTCCCTGAAGTACGGCTTGCTGCACTCAACGAACTCAGCCTCCCTCCGAAAGGCCCAGCAGTGGGAAGAGCGTCTCCCGGGAGTTGTGTGTGCAGCAGAAGCCAGCACAAGGAAGCAAGCGCAAACCGCAGGGCAGAGCCAGGCAGAGCGGTACAGACCCATCAACCCAGCACCTGGAGGCTGAGGCAGGGGGATTCTGAATCCAGAACAGCCTGTGCTGGAGTAATACCCTGCCGCAAAAACAGTGCTTTGCCCTAGAAGGGACAGCCATGACACGCCCGACCTGAAGGATCAGGGACCACTGGAGAATTACAGAAGAGGGGACAGGAGGTATGTAAGGGCAGGAAGACGGCGACATCTCTGGATGTGACAGCCGCTGACTGCACTGCGGTGCCTGTCTGCACAAGGCCGGGCCTGTCAGCACATCCTCCCAGGGGACCTTAGCAGCCACTGGCTGCTGGGAGAGGCTGGAGTAGCCACTGCGGCCCCACCCACACCCACGCAGGCAGCTCTAATTAAATAGTAGTTCCCATGGAGAAAAAAAGACACGAAGGGAGGTAGGGCACTCACTGGGAAGAACAGGGACTCAGCGGGTGGAGGGGGATGAGGGCAAGCGTGGAAATGACCAAAGAGCACTGTCTGCATGTGCGAAACTGCTGGGGAATAAAAACACACAAGCAATAGTGCCAGGCTGAGGGCCTTCCTGAAGCCGCCCAGGGTGACGACTTCCGGGAGGGAGACAGGACAGGCAGGCAACAAGCAGGAAAGGTGCTGGCTCGGAGCTCCCCAGTGGAAGGAAAGCAGAGCAGTGCGTGACTTCCTGTTCAGCTAGACTAGACAGGGACAGACAGGCATATTCCTCCCCTCCCAAGTGTGCTCGGCCCTGGAGACAGCAGTGCAATGCTCCCCGAGCAGGCAGCAGGCAGGACTCTGCAGCCCAGGAGGCTCACCGCCAGAGGGCAGCGCCCTGTTCCTCAGCACCTCGGCCAACAGAGAGCCCTCCCCGGACATGCATGCAGAGAGCCAGCAACCCTATACCCACATCTGCTAAAGTGCTGTCACGTCCTGGGCCACCTCCCCTTTCCCACCCTCACCCCCACATTTCCAGCAAGGCAGGGTTGGCCATGAACGGTGAACAGCCACCTTTGCATGAACTCCTGGAAAGAGGAGAAGAGGAGGTAGTCGATGGCGCTGAAGTCCTCGTTGCTCTGATTCAGGCGGAACTGGAGAAACACCAGCTCCCGCTTCTTCACCTCCTGTGGCCCCTGGACAATCAGGGCCGATTGCTGCAGGGACAGAAAGCCAGGGCCTCAGCGCTCAGAGCTGCGTGCTCCTGACTCTCACACACGCACAGACGCTCGGCCGCAAGCCCTGCCTGGCAAATGCACAGGGTCCCCCAGCAGCCTCCAGGGACTACAGCCAAGCCCTCCACCCAGGGATGCAAGCTGGCCGTGGGGACTTCTCAGCCCAGCTGGCGGGGCCGTCCACACCGTGGGACCTTTCCGCTGGATAAGGGTGTTTGCTTTTATGAGTCTGTGTGCCCCAGTTGACTTTGTCCTAGCACCTACTACACGTGCGTCTTCCAATGCAGATCAGCCAACGGCGCCTGTTTACTCTTGCACCTTCTGGGCAGGCTGGCTCGCTAGGGTACGCCAACCCTCAATGTTCCCCAGCATGTCCCTGTCATGACTTTAACCTTGATGCAGACCCCCCGCTTTAGTAAGCACCCGGCTCTCAGCCTTGCCCGCCTTCTCTCACCCTCCACTGCCCCTGAGCCAGGGCTGCGCTGCCCATGGCATCGCCCGCTCTGTCAGGTGACTCAGGCCCGGGCCAGCCCCTTCCACATTATTCTTCCAGTGTTCTAGTTGTTGGAGTACGCTCTCCTCACCTCTAAATGTTCTTTAAGCTGTCTCGAAATGTCCAACTAAACGCACCAGGATGTCCTCACTGAAGAGAACGGACGAGATGTGTAACATGAGAATGCCACCTCACCACCCGCCTCACCTTCCCTCACCTCTCACGCCCCGACCACGGGGACAGGACAACAGGGCACACTGCTGGGCAGCCCCAGGAGCAGCAGTGCCCTGTGAGCTGCCTGCCAGTCAGGCCGCTCAGGGACAGAGGCTGCCCTGACGGCAGCTCCACCAGGAAGAGTTTGCACACGAGCTAGGCCTGAACTCTGATTAGCACACTTGGTCAGCTGCGACCGAATTTTACGGGAGCTAGCAAAGCCCCAGAGGCGGCGTGAGCGTCAGCTGTGGTGGGAGAGGAATCGGTGAGGAAGCAGATACCAGCCCACAGCCGGGACAGGTACTGCTCCCTCCTGTACAAAAGCAGATCACGGCCACAGGCAAACCGCAAGAACTCCAAAGCACAAGAAACCAGAACATTAACGAAAGACTCAAGACTTATGCAGAGTGACCCCACAAGACCCTCAACGGGGGTCACTGTCACAGGACAGTGCCTGCACAGTAACAGCTCACTGAAGAGGGTGCTGGGAAGGGCAGGGTGAGAACAGGCCTCCTCCTAGCCGGCCACCTCAGCCCCAGTCCCCAGATGACTCAAGCTGGGAGCTGACTGCAAAAAAGCAAACCAACCAACCAACCAAAAGAGTGCCGATCCCAAGGGCAGTTTCCTAACAGTCTGCTGCGGCTCCAGCTGTCCAGCGACACAGAGCAACCTGTGGGTGAGGCCAAGGCAACCGGAGCCTCCCCGAGAGCAGCAGGAAGGCATCGGCACACTAGCAGAAGCACAGGCCCTGGTGGCTGTCACCGGAGCGGCCAGGCAGCTGTGGAGACTCCAGGCCTCCTCGCCACATGGACACTCTGGTGCGCGCATCCTACTCGTTTCCTTTTCTGAGACAGAGTCTCACTGTGAGCAAGGTCCTCACGCCTCAGCTCCGGGCGCCCGGGACTCCCACACCAGTCCCAGTACATCCTTACACGCTGGCTTTTGCTCAGGGAGCAGTTGAACGAGAGAAGGAAACTTCTTTGAGGCTCACAGCTCGTGGCCAGAAGGAGTTGAGGAAGAAAATTAACCATCCCTCAGAACTGGGCTAGTGAATGCATTGACCTTCCTTCCTTTGAAAACACCCTTACTTCTGTGTCCTTGTTTCACAGGTTTTATATTTAAATTATGAACTACAGAAAATAAAACAGTTCTGTGTGAGCAGCTGCCTCCTAGGAAATATGCCAGCCAACAGGGGGAGAGGAAGAGGTTCCCAGAATGGGCACAGCGGCACCCCACAGCCACTGTGTTTCTCAGAGGGGTGAGGAAAGCCGGGAATCCAGACTGCTTTCCTGGCTACCGTCTCCCTCTTCCAGACTGGATTCTGCTCCTTCATTTCAGGCTCTTTCATTTAGTGTTGGCTTCATGGAAAAGTCCAGTGACTACCATTCTCAGTTAGGAATAAAGGATTCTGATGCCAAGGGTGGGCATCTCCCTCGGGGCTTACATCTGCCTGCCTGAAGGCCAGCCATGGAGGCACCCCGGCACCGTGGCCAGAGAACACTGGAAGCCCAGGCCTTGACCGAGGAGAGTCCTACAGCAGTCCTGTCTCCACGCCTGAGCGGAGGGCCTTCCCTCAGCCTCGGCTCTGAGGCCTGGCATCCAGAGAAGCACCTTGCCCTGCATCTCTGCAACCAGGGAGGGCAATGTTCTTGAGTCACAGCAGTCAGCCGTGTTCCAAACTCAGCCATGCTGAGCTGGGGGCCAGAGGCTGACACCGGCTGGCATTTCTGTCCTGGGTTATGAGCCTTCTCTGACTGGCAAGCCTCGTCGACTAATTCCAGGCACCTTACACTGGCTCCTCCGGCCTTCTGGTTGACCTATGCAGCCTTCCTCAGTGTGTGGGGCTGTCCTCATGCCCTACCCTACCTTGTTTTGCAGGGAACAGGAATCACATCATCAGGCTTTAGGAGGGGGCCTGGGAAAGGATCAGCCAGTCTTAGTGCAGCCCTTCATCTTGAACATGGCGGTTCCTCTCACCCTCAGGGGCAGGAGGCCCCACAGCAGGATACACACTCAGGCCTGTGCTTCTGTCCACAGCTACACCTCACATTCTCCTCTAAGGCCCTCTGAGCCACCCCCACCATCCTCCTTCCCAGATGGGCAGTGTTGGTCCATGGTCAGTGTCTCAGTCACTGCTCTGCTGCTGTGAGGAGACAGTGTGACCCAGACAATAAAATAAAACATTTAATTGGGGCTGGCTGACGGCCTCAGAGGGTTAGTCATTATAATCATGGCTGTGAGCACAGCAGGACACGGCAGGCACGGTGCTGGAGAAATAGTTAAGAGCTTACATCTGACCCATGGACAGGGAGATGGGGAGAGAGAGAAAAGAGAGAGAGCATGCCAGTAGGCCTAGCATGGGCTTTTGAAACCTCAAAGCCCACCCCCAGTGACACACTTCTCCAGCCAGGCCACACCTTCTAATCCTTCCCAAATGGTTCCACTAACCGGGACCAAGCACTGAAACATTCAAAATGGGGGCCATTCTCACTCGGACCACCACAGGCGGCAATGTCCTGTTCCCAGAAGCTCCTATGTCGATGGATGGAAAGCTTTCACTGGCCCTTCAGTCCCTCTTGACGAAGGAAAAGAGCCAAGACTTAAGAATGCAAAGCCATATCCCTGGCCAGGAACCCTGACAGGTGTGCTCTGCGGGAGTTACCAGCGAGCTGTGCTGTAAGGCGTGTGCCGCCAGCTCTCTTCACCACAGACCAGTGTACCATCTTCATTCCTGGAAGCACACCTGCCCCCACCCCCTGGCCTCCCACCTCAGAGCAAGAAGCCCTGAGGGTTATCAGCCCCAGTAGCACACACACCATACCACTCATCTGCCAGGGACTGAAGACCCATGCCAAGCCAATACAGGGAGAGGAAGGCTGGAGTCCTTAGAGCATGTGACTAGTGGCATTACCACAGTGCGATTGGAGAAGGGGTGGGTGTAGTTGATCCTCTCCGTGGTGCAGTTCCTGTCTCCAGGCTGGCCAGCGCTGGCAAGAGGCGGAATGACCTCATAGTGATGCTTACAGCTGAGCAGCTGAGCCTGACCGGGGTATAGGGCAATCCCTGGAACACACACAGATTGACACAGGTCAGTCACAGTCCTGAGCACCCAGCCTTACCTCACACCTACCTCCTCGGTACCGTGCCAGGAAGGAGGAGAAGAGGGAGAGGAGCAAGGCATGGCCCTACTCCAGTGGGGGGCACCCACCACCTCAGCCAGCGCCTCCCTCACCCTGCCTGGAATGTGGCCACCAGGATGCCTCCCTCACAGCACAGTGGTGCTATAAAGGCTGGGCTCTGAGGCTCCTGAGAACTCATTTGAGGCTCTGCTGGAGCCAAGAACACAAATCACATAGAGTGTCCTTGCTCTCACTCAGGCTCCCAGAAACACTGACAGCAACTCATGGCGCTGAGGCGAGGGATAAAAGACTGCAGGGAAGTCCCACAAAGAGGCAGAAGCAGACACAGCGAAGCCAGGGAAAGAAGGAGATAACCAGGCCTGGCTGTATGGTAAGGTGACTGTCAGGGAGCCCCTGGCAGGGAGAGATCTGGCCCTAGCCTGGAGCAGAAGTCCCGGGTGTCATTCAGGGTCAGAGCAGGTGGCACACTCATGGTGGGCAAGGCTTGAGCCCACCTTCCTTCTCCAATGCCAACTTAGGGTGCCAGCCGATCACCCACTCTGGTAGACAACAGAACTCAGGGGTCAGCCATCACGACATGCAGGGAAAGGTATGCAGAACGGCCTGGAGCCCTCATGGCTGCTCACCTGCCTCTACATCCCATCGCCTTCCTACGCCCTGCTCCGGCCTTGACTCTTGGGGCACTGGGAAGGACAATGGCCCCTCAGGCTCCTTTGCCATATATGCCATCCCCAGTTGGTGGAGCTGTCTGGAAAGGACTAAGAAGTGTCTCCTTGCTGGAGAAGCTGTGTCAAGGGGGCAGGCTGGTGCTCTCAAAGGCTGGCACTGTTCCCAGCATGCTTTCTGCCTCCTGCTCTCCATTCCAGCTGTTCCTGCTACCACGCCTTTGTCCACCATCATGGACTCTACCCCTCTGAAGCGGTGAACCAATGAAATGCTTTCTCTTATGAGTTGCCTTGCTCAGAGTGCTTTGTCTTGGCAATAGAAAAGTAACTAAGACACTGCCCTTCATCTCTGGCCTTCAGCTCTAGCCAGGGTTCTCTCTCCAACGAGGCCCCTGCCTCCCCACACACACCCTGGCCCCTGCTCCTCCTCTGCTGCCCACCTCATGCCTAACAAAGCCTGGCTCCAATGCTGCTCTCCCTGCTCCTCCCCCCCCCCCCCCCCGTGCTCCAGGGTCTGGCACTGACTCCCAGATCCAAGTCTACAGCTCCACTCTGTCCTGCTCCACCCTGCCTGTGCCAGGAACACAGGGGTGGCTCGGGGCGGTGCTCGCTGGCTGAAACCCTGGCCGCCATACCTGGAGCATCATAGCGGTCCACCTCCTTGTACGATACGGACATGACAGGGTGCTTGAGCTTTTCTCGGAAGTCTGTGATGGTCTGGTAGACCAGGAAGACGGCCACTGCCATAAGCAGCAGGTAGATGAAGCTGAGCAACACGGAGAAGACATTCTTCAGGCAGGCCTTGCTGAAGCGGATGCTGCTGGAAGCGGACTCACTGTCCACGCCTGCTGACGGGACACCACAGTCACCAAGCTGCTGGTGGCAGGCTGCTTCCTCCCAGCCCTCATCACAAAAGGTGTGGAGAAACACCAGCTCAGTCTCTCCCCTCCCAGCCATGGCCACCCCGCCTGCCACTCCTCGCCTGTTTTGAAGAATGGTCATCACCAGCTCCACCCTTTTCACCCAGAAAGCCCCTTTCCCAGGGAACCTTCCCTTGAGGTTAATAAGACAGAGTCTCCCTGCTGAGCACCTCACTTGCCTCCCTTTGCTACCGGATACAGGGGTCATGTGACCAGCAATGCCTGTTCCTGCCGATGAGTAGGGTGGACTGTGTCTCTCAAACCATGAGCCAAACTAAACCCTCCTGCCTCCTGCCCTGTTGGGTATTTTGTCACAGGAATGAGGAAAGTAACACACGAATTAACCCCCAGTGTGAGTGAATGTGGAACGGGGGCTGAGGACGTATTATCCTAAATGAGACCCTGAGGGCTGGTCTTTAGCTGAAGTGTGCAGAGTACAGAGCTGGGGTAGGAAGCAGGGGAAGGCAGCTTTCTCCAAGCTGAAGAGAGCTTTCACTGGAGACCAGGTCTGCAAGACCTTGATGGAAGACACCAGGCCGCAAGCTCCTAACAGGAGCCACCCAAGATGGCAGCTGTCACGGCAACCTGGGTTCACCTTCCCATGGTGCTTCTGCTCCCCAGCTCGAACCACAGCTCCAGGAGTGCGGGATCACACCCCTGCCTCAGGTGACAACTGTGAGATCAGAACAATGAATCTGAAATTTAGTGACAACGGCATTTAAGAATGGGCAAACACAGGAAGACAGCAGGAGGGCATCTTCTTGTGGAGAGAAGGCCTGTGAGAGGCACAAAAGTCTAACTGTTTGCTGGAGATTCATGCCACCCCCCAATGACATTCTGCGGACCTGTGATATGCGCAAGTCACTGGCGGGAGAGTCCAAGGGGTGGGGAAGCAGAGCGGGTGTGTGGGTGTGGGTGGGTGTGTGTGAGTGTGTGTGCAGGTGTGGGTATGGGTGTGTGGGGATGTGGGTGTGGGTGTGTGTGCAGGTGTGGGTGTGTGTGTGTGGGGGGGGTGTGTGCAGGTGTGGGGGTGTGGGGATGTGGGTGTGGGTGTGTGTGCAGGTGTGGGTGTGTGTGCAGGTGTGGGTGTGTGTGTGGGTATGTGTGTGTGTGGGGGGGTGTCTAGCTGAGTGGCAGCCAGGCCTTCAGGGACCCTAGCAGGGGACCACACTGGTCAAGGGCCCCAAGCAGCTCACACACAGAAATGCCTGTGATTAAAGACTTCAGGGGGACAGGATGCAGGATGCGAATAGGAAACACTGGCCAGTGAGGCCTCAGGAGAGGGAGAGGGCGTGTGCACCTTTCTTCCGATTCGTGGAATACTCCACAGCTGCATGGAAAACACTGAGGGAACAGAAACCTTCTCGATGAAATGGACAGAAAACTTTCTCAGTCCTGGGAAAGATGTGTACAGAGGCCAGAGAAGCTCAGATGGGTGTGACCAGAGAGAGAGCTGCACCACGGCCTGTCACAGTGCACACGTGACCAGAGTTACACCATGGCCTGTCACAGTGCCACACGTGACCAGAGAAAGAGCTGCACCACGGCCCGTCACAGTGCACACGTGCCCAGAGAGAGAGCTGCACCACGGCCCGTCACAGTGCACACGTGCCCAGAGAGAGAGCTGCACCATGGCTTGTCACAGTGCACACGTGCCCAGAGAGAGAGCTGCACCACGGCCTGTCACAGTGAAACTGCCAAAAGCACAAGACAAAGCTGCTAAGCGTGCACACAGAAGTGATGCCATGCTAAGGGCGTACCACTAGAGCAACAGCCAACCCCAGCGGGAACCCTACAGCCGGAATGTTACAGCCAGTAACACAGCCTGCCCGTCAGGAAGGCCAGAGGAGTAAAGGCCTTCTACGACAGCACACTGAGGCATCCCTGTACACAGACCACCCTGGAGGACGTTCGAAGCAGCCTCTGGGAGCCATGTTTGTGTCACCTAAGACACAGACCTAAGAGAACAACTTGCAGAGGTTTACGTGGCTCACGACGGTCAGCGGCCGCATCTGTGGGCAGACGGCCACAGGGCAGAGTGGCTCGGCTCAAAGCAGCAGGAAGCAGAGAGTGGCTCTGTGACTCTTCCTCCTCCCGCCTCCCTCTGCCCTCCCTCCTTCCTCCATCTGAGCACCGACGGGTGTCATGCCCGTCCAGGTGCTTCTCCACCACTCTGTCCTCCTTAGAGAAGCGGTCACACTGCCCAGAAGTGTCACCGCCCTTCTTGGTACTCTCAAAGTCAATCAACAACCATGACTTAGCAGCAGAAAGACCTATAGCTGTAAACCCCAGAGACGCAAAGTGACCAGCCTGACCGGCTGGTAAGAAGCCATTGAGCTGCAGCAACCAGCAAAGCGGGAGAGCGGAGGACGCTGGGAACAGCAGGAGGGCCCACACAAGGCTGGAGCAGTACCGCTGCTCTGAAGGCGTAGGTGAGACAGGACGGCCCTGCTGGACTGCAGAGATGGCTCAGCAGTTAGGACACTTGTCGCTCTTGTGGAGGACCTGAGGACCTGCACCACACGGCACCTCACAACTGTCTGCAACTCCCAGGCCCTCCAATGCTGGTAGACATTTGCACATGCCAAATAAGTAAACCTTAAAAATTAAAATATATAATTATTATATTTATATATTAAGCATATATATATATATATATATATATATATATATATATATATTGCCTAAAAGGAACTGACTTCACATACAGGATTAACGCAAAAGAATGGAAAATGACATTCAAAGAAAATGAAAACCCGAATCGAAAAAACCTTAAGGAGAGGCCATATTTGCACCGGACAACAGAGACTTGTGACCAAAAGGCTAACTAACCCAGGAGCTACAATACTGTAAGTTTAGCACACCCACATCAACTCCACAGAACACAGCGCTACACAGCTGAAGGGGAAGAGAAAGCCCAGCCTCAACGCAGCCAGATGGAAGTTCCACAGACACAGCACGGCCAGCTCCTGCCACGGCAGACGCCCCATCCACAGCTGAAGAACACTCTCGGGTAGGCAGGCTCCTCAGCCCCGAGCCATCTCCCCAGCTCGTGAGGAAACTCTGCACTGCCAGTCTGACTACATTCCCAATCACCTCAGCAAGCTTCCAAACACTCATCCCCAGACAGGTCTAACCAAGGAGAAAAGACCCGGATTACATGTGTCACCATTCAGAGGCTGGAACAGCTCACACATGCACTCACGTGCGCATATACATACGAATGCTCACATGTGAACACACAGAAAAGTGGAAGATACTACTTTCAGAAACTCATGGATCTAGACAACTTTGTGTTATAAGACGTAGATTCACAAAAGCAAGTCCCCGTGCTCTCTCTCAGACAGAATTACAGGGTCAGCAGTGACAGAACAGGCCGGGAGGGCAGAAGGCTGGCACGGGCACACTTTTACTGGCGTACTGCATGCAGGTATGGAATTACACGGAACGCCATGTGGGGCACAAGAAGCAAGGAAATGACAACACCAGGGCCCAGTAATTCTCCAGGAACTAGCGGAAACGCAGGAGGAATTCCAAGTGACAACTAAGAACACGGTGAGAGGAAACAAGCAGTTCCTCAGTGAAACCAGAAAAGCAGCTGCTCTGAAGAACAGGCTCAGTCCCTGAGAACTGAGAAGAGAATCTCTGAAGAACAGGCTCAGTCCCTGAGAACTGAGAAGAGAAGCTCTG